CTTGATCAAAAATTGTCCCACATCCAACGATGTACATAAATACATTATTATTTTCAATCCCCTTGCGAAGATCTGAGAGAAAAATTCGAATCTCGAATCAAGGCAAAGAGACATCAATTTTAGCTCGTTAATATGTCAAATTAGCACTCGATTAATGAATGTCGAGATAATATTTTTAACGACACAACGTCAAGACATCCCTGACCTCTCGCACATCGTCCACGTCTCTCTCTCTCTCTCTCTCTTTCTCTCTTTCCTTCTTCGTATATATTCTTTTATTCTCATGGTGTAGAACTTCGTCGGAATGATGACGACCGCTGCTGAACCCGGATTCTCTCATGGACTTCCGATCGTTTAGAGTTCGCAATTTCTTTTCTATGTCTTTAACGCAGGAAACAACGACATTTATTTCTTGTGAACCTCATTGAATTTTTTTTTTTTCGTTCTACTTGATGTATTCATTCATTATGAAGAATATTTGTATTACAGATATTAATAATGAGAATAATAAAATTATGCCATCCAAACAAACGTAATTTTTGTATAATCGTTGTTATTTTCAAATTATTACTATTTATTATTACAATTAATTTGATGCGGTTGTTTCCAATCGATTTAAAAAATTTAGATGTACATGAAAGTAATAATAAATGGCCAATGTTATATACAGAAATATTCTGAGAAGCATAAATTTATTTTATGCATGATCATTGAATAAGCAAATTTATCTTTATGTCTATTAAGGTGACAAGTCCTAATTGAAACGAATTTCAGTATAGCTTCGAAAAGATAAATCTATCAGGATAGACTTCTGCAATAAAATCCTGCATAACGTTATTTCAAAACTTTGTGACTAGTCTTTTTCATTTTTGTTTTGTTATCTCTTTCTTTATTGAAAAAGCATTATATAATATGCATCTATACCTGATTGCTATATATCTACCTATGTAACGCGATACACGTATGTAACGAAATACATTACATTTCGTAAATAATATCTTTACATTTCCATAATAAAACTAATAGCTTGATCGAGACCTAGTAATACGATACAAATTGATTTATCGTTTTGTATCATTATGCATCTTGTGAAACACAATAAATAATTTTAATTCATTAATTTCTACATACAGGAACAAATTAGGAATAATTAAATCAAAATTTCGGATGAACATTTTTATATATCTATTCTGATAAAAATCTATATTTATTATAATTTGAAAAGATAAACCATTAGAAATTATATCGTGATTTTATCGAGGATTCTCGATTATCGCGTCAACACCTTTGAACTTTTAATTGGCGTCGTCTAGCACGATATCCTTCGGCACGTACCTTAGAAGGTTACATCCTGCTGGTGTAATTATCTTATCGCACTACGTCATTGCTCGTGAAGTTAGTATAGCCCTTGTGAATTACGAACATAGGTAAGTTATAAATGCAAGGCGCAGGTGGCCTCACCCTTCCCTCCAGTTCTCCCTCGATCCCTCATGCAACTAGCCGCGGTATTTTGCGAGCTGACTATAAAATAAATCAATCGACGATATATAGTCATCCGCATATATAGTCATTCTACGGGTTTTTCTTCAACGATTACGCCTCAAATGCTGACTAGTGTATCTATCTATGCAAGAGAGAACGGAAAGATTCTTGAACGAGAGAGATATATGACAAAGTTCAGCTACGGTCTTCTTCCTTCTTGACTCTGTTTGATTTAAATTTTTAATGGATATCGATTGCTCAACAAAATATAATACGAACGAATATCGACCACAAATAAACAGAAAATTTGCATAAGGTCGGGGATTCTACGTTGAGAATTAATTTTCAATATCACTAATAAACTCGTACAAATTTCTATTCTGTTTCCTCATACACGAATCACGTAGGAATTAACATTATTAATAGAATGCTCATTATTAGAGTCCTATAATTAAAAAATAAAAAATACACAGTGTTATTATATAATAATAACTGTTTTGTATTTTATAATTATTTCGAAGGTGAATGCGATAATTGATTAGAAAGATTGATAGTAATTATAAACTCGATACAAAATATTTCTCGATATCTCTTCCACCTGTCTCGTCGTACATATATATATGGACATACATGCATATATATATATATATATATATATATATATATATACATATACGTATGTATATATATATATATACATACGTTCTTTTCTGTCTCTTAACGAGCTTACGGCGTGTCTTATTTTCTTAATGTAAGCGGTCTGTACGCGTAAGTTGTAAGTATGAGTAAGGAGGAGCATATGTGTTGCTGTCTGCCGACAACGTGGTGGCATTTAACCGATCCTCGCCATCGTGCTTGGTGGTTATATTACGCAAGAAGCGCCTTTAAGCCGACGATGACGACGACCTCGCGGCGCGGTCCAGCAGGATTCTTGCGAAATTCTTTGCTTGTGTGCGAGTTCCTTGTTGAAAAGCAACCGAGCACTATCCTCTTCGTTATGGCACTTCTTTCTCACCGGATGAGTACCGATCTTAGACGTCCGCTTTCGAACGTTTCGACGATGAAATCATTTCGGCTACTTGGAAAATACCTTTTACCCAGTTTGGTCTTTATGATTATTTCGAAATAAAACGAAACGAAGCTCCCATAAATAAGTATGTATATATGTATGCCAACAAGCCGGAAGGAAAGAACTTTCTACGAAAATATCTGATCTTCGTTTGATAGAGAAAAGAACACTTCACGTTCGAACTGAATATGTACTGTGGCTCATTGTATTCGAAGAATCAGAAGATTGAAAGAAAGTTTGCCATCGAGTGAGCTCACATTTTTGACTTGGTGAATGTCAAGTAATAGAATGATCAATCTCTTTTTCTTTGTCATTCTTTTTCGTAATATATTAATACCTATATTCAACTTAAATATACCTGTTCCTTTTTTTTTTCATATACCTAATAATTTACTTAAGAAAATATCAAATTATGTTAGATTACGAAAACCCTCGGCAATAGCTTAACAATTTCTTTCTATTAGATTTTATCAATAATTTTCTTATTAATTCTAAATATCAATAAAATACTTTATATCGAATCTATCCTTACTTATCTGTATTAGAATGCAAGCTATGATGTATACCTACACCGAGACAAGAACGTTCAGTTAAAAATTGATTTATATAACGTATAATAGAAGAAATAGTTGTGTATCTATCGATTCGTATATACACAACCTTCTTCGAACTATCGACTATTCGATTTTCAAATTATTCCTCTCTTTCTCTCTCTCTCTCTCTCTCTCTCTCTCTATCTATCTATCTCTCTCTTTCTTCGCGTATACAATCGATTATACAATATCGTCGCGCCTCGTCGTCGTTAAACCGCGCAAAAAGGAAAAGCCGCGACCCGCAAAGGTGATGCACGATGCCGCTTCGAAACACAACCGGTTATCTAACTTCGAGATACTCGTATCTAACGTAGTAACGAAGAGGGACGAAGCTCGAGGGATCGAATATGTTTAAAGGGAAAGAGGGAGGGATAAGATTGAACGTCTACGATTCTTCGTTGGATCCTCGTGTTACATGTCACCGTAGAAAAGCGGCGATATAAATTCGATATTCTTTATCTTAAGCATTCATTTTAGCACGGGCTATGTTATTTAAGCTAAACGAAAAAAAGAGAGAATGAGAGAGAGAGAGAGAGAGAGAGAGAGAGAGAGAGAGAGAAAAAGAGTCATGTTCTGGAAATTCTTTTCGGATAGGAAGATCGATTTGTTACTGGTTTTTCGCTTGTGACATCGCATGCACGTATTTACATACATATATGCATACATAAATACACATATGTCAATATGTGAATGTAAAGTAATTATGAAATAATTTCACGAAAGTACGAGCTTAGTTGTTAATGAAATTAGAAGAGGATAAAATGAAACAAGTAAGAAAAAAATAAAATTATTGACAACGATGCCATGTGCTGTTTCGCAATCATTCTCATGCAGATAGTGATCCCAGTCTCGTAAAAAAAAAAAAAAAAAAAAAAATAGAAAAAAAAAGAAGAGGAAAGAAAAATAGGAAACAAAAAAGAAGAAAAAAGAAAAAGATTTGACTCGTGAAAGTCTATGAGAAAGGGTTGATTTAAATAAATAATTCCGACCATTCGATTGTCATTTATCGATTTGACAAAGCTTCTTTCGGCTCAACTTTCAACTAGAGGATGCCAATAAGGAGATCAAGAATATGTTTCATCAGCATTGACATAAATCTTATCTCGAAAATGATCCTCTTCGATTATCATCCAATCAACTCTCTGATAAAAAATGTCATTAGCATAAGACATAGTCTTATGTAATCACTTTCTTTTCAAAGATTAACCCATATCGTTTCCCTCCTTTTCCCTATCATACTTCTTCCCGTTCGAATACATCTCTCTATTATTTTTCTCCCGTTTCTAAGAACGAACACAATTTATTATTTCAATCGTTCCTTGATTACATTCGACAATCGACGATAGATAAGCGTCTAACATCTAAATCTTAAACGTAATCGGCAATCACATTTTCTTTTTTTTTTTTGTTCAATTTTTTTTTTTCTTCATTTTCTTTTTCTTCCTCACCTCCATCAATAGCTTCTATTCACTCGTTAAACGTTATTAACTCATCGGCGCCTTAGGATAGACCGTCGATGATTTAACTCCTCTTCGCCGTTGTCTAATGGCAAAACTCGTTTTCTCTCTGGCAGCTAGCAGTACATTTAAACGATCCCGACCTGTCGTTTGCCTTCGTCCAAGTACTTACGTACAGTTTCTCTCGAATTAGGAAGGAATTAGATAATTACTAACATTTTTACCATTTCTCCTTACAAAGATGGATATTCATCTCGAGTATCTTCGATAATGATGAGTATTTCGAAAAATATCTTTTTTTTTTTTCTTTTACATTTAATATGTTATTTAGGATTCGCACGGTTCGAATGGTTCATGGTGACGAAGAACATTTATTAAAATTTGATCGTTCGTAGCGATATGAAAACTGCTGTAATATTCGCTGTCAGTATGACAATAGTATTACAATCTAAGAACGTCTCTAACAAGCTGACAGACTGTCCTTCCCAGATTCCACATGTATAAGATATTATCATACTGGTTACGATAGATCATGATTATATTACATACTACAACTTGTACCGTGTAATACAACTTAGAGCTAAACTCTGATAATTCGTTAATTCTTATTAACCAAGGAAATTATGCAAAATTCGACATTGAAACTCGTTTTCGTTTTCTCTTTTTCGTTCTTTAAATTATTTCTTTTTTTTTTTTGAAAAGACTAAAATTTATCACTTATTAAATTAAAAAGAATTTAGAGAAACTTCAGTCTCTATCCAACTCATTAGTAAACAAACATTAGTATTTCATTAGAAGGAAACCACCGAAATGAGACTTTTATCGAAACAGAAAAAAAAAAGAAATAGAAAACCGAAAAAAATATTTCTACATCGTTCCTCTTATAATCAGATTTACAGTGATTTTGGCTGGCAAACTTTCATCTTATATTCTCAATGTCGCAATAATAGAAACTACGAAGTAAAAGCATTTTGTTATTCAAATTTAATTGGCACGATATGTTAAAACTCACTACTGTAGTACTACTTAGATACATACGTATCTAGTACATTTTTCTAAACATCTATAATTAAAGAGACATAGTTGCATAATTCTAAACGAATAGTACCGAAGTAAGGATCTCGAACGAAAAGGATCAATGAATGAAGATCGTCGAGAGTAGGTAAAGCCTGACTAACCTTTAAACGTGCGCTCATCTTCCAAAGTGCATTTTAAATTGCTTTGAGCTTTCTAGTAGCGTTAAGAACCGAATCCGTAAACGTAAACGCATTGTGAAATGCGGGGAGACAATTAACTTATCGCTTTAGATTTCGATACCGACACTTTCACGTGATCTTAACAATTAGATTTTGTAAACTCCTATTATCGTTTTTGAAACGAAAAGGAGGAAAAAAAAATAGAATAGAAATGAAGATATTATTCGTAAGAAGAGATCGGACGAATAAATGACTGACAAAAAATGATTTCATTTTATCAATTCCTTTTTCAACAATTGAGGCTCGATAAAAATGGGCACACGACAGAAACCATTTAATCTTTCGCTTTTAAACAAAATGCGTATCAGAGACAGTCGAGCTAGTTCCACTTTCTTTCCTATTCCTCATGCGATTCTACCATTTATCTATGTACGAATCGAATCGACGAGGAGATAATTGGTATCCCATTGTCTCCGGATTATCTCCCGTAGAGCATCTTAGGGCAAAACAAAGAACACACGGCGAGAGTCGAGGACGATTATGGTTCCAACGTCGATGTCTCTTCCTTGAAATCCTACCTAACATTTAAACTCAACGTCGATTCTTTTTTAGATTCTTTTCTTCTCCTTCTTTTTTCATAGTCAATTATATGTAGGTATGTATATTATTTTCAACACATGGTCACGTTGGTACCATCACCGGGATGGGCCAATGCCATTTGTCAAGAAGATTTCGACACTCTACCAGAATTTCAGCAGCGAAATCTTCCTTAATGGTAGGGGATTTAATAATGAAACGAAATCCGTCTATATAATAAACCGGTATCCTCTTTTGAATCAGTAAAGTGATCCGACTCGTCTCGAATCAAATTTCTTCTTTACACTTTCAAATTCTTTCAAAAAAGAACTCATCAAAGATGAAACTGGTGCGTTTTTAACAATACGTGATCTCTTGTGTAGATCGAGGAATAGATTTTCAGAAAAAGAATAATCCTCGAGAAGTGTTCATTGAGAATATAAAAAACTTTAAAAATTTTCATAAAAAAAGTTAAACGATTACCAAGTATATGCATACATACAACTCGGAATCATACTTTACGATCTTGAAAATAGAGAAATACATTGAACGACAGTTTAATAAACATCTCTATTATCGTGCTAACAATTACCTATAATGTCGTACAATTGCAAATGAACGATCGTGACGGATCTTACAAACTGTTCCGATGATTTTTTTTCCTCCTTCTTATTTTTTTCCTTCTTTCATGAATATTCTTGCGTTCAAGAAGAACGTGAGGAATTTACATCGTCTCTTATTATTTCCGCAAATAAATGAAGAACTTACTTGCTTATTGTTAAAAGGACGTAAAAAAAAAAAAAAAAAAAAAATTATGCGACTGTTAAAAATTAGAAAAAATAACAAACGTTTGAATTTACTCCTAGATCATTACTTTCTTCAACGTTTTGGCTGTCGCTTTCGCTCTTCTAACACCTCAGCAAGAAGTGGTGATCGTGAAGGAGACACCATTGGACAATATCGGTGTTGATGGTTACAACTATGGTTATGAACTTTCAAATGGTCAACATCATGAGGAATCAGCTCAATTAACGAATGCTGGCAGTGAAAATGAAGTTCTTGCTGTTAGGGGTAGCTTCGGTTGGGTTGACCCAGTTACCAATCAAAAATATACCGTCAATTACATTGCCGATGAGAATGGTTTCCATCCGCAAGGTGAACACCTTCCATCGGTCTGATTTTTTATTTTATTATAAATTAACAAAATATTTAAATAAAATTATTTTATAACAAAATCAAATGCACACACCTCATTTTCATTCTCTTCTTCGTTATGTCATATATTCTTCGTAATAACTAAGGTTACTTTCTAAATAGTAAATCACTGTCGTATGATTTACGATCGAAGAAAATTATGCTTTTGATTCGAAGGATTATAGTCGACCGTGTTGTATAGGATGACACATGTAACGTTCGTACTACTTAAAAGAACTATCTTCCAACTGCTAAGCTAAGAATGGTATTTAAATGTTAATTGGTACATCTTATTATTATCAATATGTATACATTGAAATTGACGAAAGTACTCGTAAAATATTTTATGTATATTCGTACTTAAAAAAAAAAAAAAATGAAGAAAAAGTAAAAATGATTTTTTAAAAGGCATGAATAAACTCGTACGGAACAGGAGTTATATTGATCGATATTTTCTACGATGTACGTCATGTGTTGACAAGTATGATAAATTATTAAGCATGAAACTTACGAAATGTGATATTTCTTTATAAATATTATATACTTCTCATTTTCACCTCTCTCTTTCTCTCTTATAATGCTCTTTACGTAACAATCCACATCTCATGTTCAACATAATTTATTCCTATGTACGATGTACAATGTCAGCTGATGAGTACATATTTTCATTAATTGGTATCTTTAATAATTAATGTTCTTTCGTAATAACGATAGAATACAAATGATGACTAACATTCGCTTTCGTACAACAAACGATTGCGTTTGTACTTGAAGACGAGCCTCGATCTATTTTAACTTCGATCGAGATTTTTCGAGAGAGGAAAAAACAAAAGGAAAAAGAATGAAAGAAAGAAAAAAAAATTATGAATACGAGCAGGTTACGAAGGAACGTTACGAAGATGATAGCCGATTGCGTAAGAATAAATACCGCATAAAAGTTCGACGGATCATAAGACCTGTTTTCCTTGATCGATCTATCCGTGGGATTATTGAGCGTAGTTTATTCGTGGATAGGTCGTTCCGAGTTTCCAAGGTTCTCAAGATCTACACCACTTGTGGTTCTTCGGATAACTCTTTCTCTTGATGGATGCGTTGTTTTGAATAATCATTGAAAGTGCTCTTTTACGACTACCCAAACCAATCTCCCGTACGTTAATTCACGCTGACACATTTAAATTCCTTCACAATATAAATTCGTACACAAGTTTCATACTTTTGGACAGATCTATCAAGTCCTAAATAACTTTTGCTTTTTCGAAGGTTAAACATCTCATCGTATAATAATTCAGCTCTAACAAGCATAACGATGTCACGCATAAATGATTAAAATTAAATGGTTGTACTTGAATTGTCAAATATAAAAATATATATTAACAGGATGATCAAATCTAAGAATTTCCAAGTATAAATAGTTTTATCGTCATAAATTCTTACGAAAGTTTTGACGAACATAAATATTTAGAAAGTTTCGAGTTTAAGAATGAAAGTTGACGATTAAAGAAGAATGAATATCGGGCGTAGGCATATTTTATAGCTCAAGATAATTATCCTTTCAAAATTTTAATTTAATATATTCATACTTTAAATTGGAAATATTTGATATATAATGATGATGTAGGTATCTTCATTTTCTTTTTATTCACAGATAAAACATTTATGGTATACATTCTTCGAATCTGTTTCGTGACACTTTCGAAACTTTATATATTTTTAAAGAACCGAAAACAGAAGTTGAATCATTCTAACGTCTTAAAATCGTCTTAAATATCATTACACGTATTACTTTACATATGTTTACAATTTTTACAATTTCTTTTACGTCTTCGACGTAGCTATTTGTGACGATTATTCATTGAATAGCGGATAATTGAAATATGAAGTATGTGACAGGTAAAATTTAATCAAAGAACCTATAAAAGAGTAATTTACATGACAAGTATTGTTACAGTAACTAGACGAGAGTAGACGGAGTAGATGTTCGTTGATATTTAATCGCATATATTAATCATTACTTTAATGGAAAGTATTAAATTCATAAACGTTCGTTTTTATCAAACCTATCAATCAACGTTCACGATACGTATTATCTTAATTTTCAAAATATCATGTATTATAGAATAATAACAATCTAAATAAATATTTTTTTTTCTCTATCACGAAGAAAAATGTCAATGGAGAATTTCGCTAATTTATTTATAAATTCACGCATAAATTATCCCAACGTTAAAATTTATTATTTTATATACTAAATATATTAATTACCAGGACGCAATATAACGTAATAACAGATAATTCCATGGAACGTGCATGTAGTATTTGAAACAAAAAATTGATAATATTCGAAACGTCGTGATGAAGGTCAGAATATTAGCAATGGCGAGCGGGCGTGTGCTCATCGTTGGTAAAGTGAAAAAAAAAGGTGAAAGGTGAAATTCAATGGTGGTGTAACGAAATTTGGGCAGTAGGAGGACCAGTATAAAACGACCGTAGCATTCTCGAATCCGCATCAGTCACACCAGTCTTCTCTTTCAAACAAGAGTAGTCACAGAAACCGATTTGTAACCATGAAGATGGTAGGTATTCTTAATGTTAACATTTTTTAATCTTTTTAACGATCGAACGATCTACATACATATATTCAGTAAAATTCTTGCTCGGTATGTCAGGATGTATCAATCGAAAATTTGATTATTGTACCTAAAAAAAGAATTCGATTCGATTCGCTCGAAACATTACATTTTTATAATTCTTTTTTTTTCCATAGATCATAGCATTCTTCGCCGTTTTGGCTGTCGCTCTCGCTCTTCCGAGACCTCAGGATGATGTGGTGCTCGTTAAGGAAACTCCCTCCGACAATATCGGTCTTGGTAATTACAACTATGCCTATGAACTCTCCAATGGTCAACATCATGAGGAATCAGGCCAATTAACGAATGTTGGCACTGAAAATGAAGCTGTTGCTGTTAGGGGTAGCTTCGGTTGGGTTGACCCAGTTACCAATCAACGATACACTGTCAGCTATGTCGCTGACGAAAATGGATTCCACCCACAAGGCGAACACATTCCTTCCTAAATCTTTATATCTCTTCTAAAAAAACGCTTGTTACACGACCAATGATCCAACAACAAGAACTACTCGAAGAATCGCCGAAACTCATAGTTACCTGATTAATAACTACCCTCGTTTAGCGACTGAGACCAAAGTTTCTTTCACTGGCGCTGTATTAATTCCGAACTTGTATAAAACTCTTTGATAAATATAAATGTATAGATAATTGAAATAAATGTATAGATAAATGTATAGATAATTGATCAGTTTCAACCCTCATTGATCGAATGCACACTGTTGACATCGAGAGAGAAAAAAGAGTATATATATATATACACACACACATATATTCTTTTTTATCTTTTTCACACTTTTTTTTTTTGAATACACCTGCAAGATAGTCGCCTCTTTACGTACGAAGACAAATAGTGGTTCAAGCATATAATAGCTTAGATTACAAAATATAAATGGCAATTCTATTCCTGGAGAATAACTAATACTCTCGAGAAGAAATCGTCTGTAAAACCTGTAGAATGCTGATATCGGGGACAAGGATCTTCCCTCGGTGAATAATTCCTCAAAAGGAAAGGCACTTCGAAATGCTAATGTTGATTTGCCGCATTATATTATTTTGTTTTTACTCTTATCTTTGCCCTTTTATATACGAATGATTTTTGTTGCAATTTAACAGCTTCTGATAATAAAGTAATAGATTTGTATTGTATCAAGGAAGCAAATAGTAGATATAACAAAGACTGTTAAAGATCGATTCATTAAATTCCTCTTTAAGTTGGGAATCAATGAAATAAAAACAATTTATCTTGTTTTCCTCGTTTACAAATCTAATATCTTCATTTTTATTTTAAATAATCCGCAAATTCTATACTAGAGCCATCTGGCGTTAAAATATACAAATTAACTAGCAATGCAGCTAGTCGTATAGTAAGCGATTATTATCTTTCTTACCTGTTTGTCCTCAACGACGCCATTAAAATTAGTACCAAGTTTTTACCGCTAGAGAGCGTTCATAGCTCTCTTTCGAGATGAAAAGAAAAAAAATAGAGAGAAAAAAAAAAGGAATCATTAATACTTAATATCAAAAAGACCTTATCTGTTACAAATTATTTAAAGGAAAAGAACGCAATTAATATCATGTAGAAGACAATTCAACAATTACGTGTTTAATCACTTGTATATTTCTCCCATCATGTTGAATTAATTAAATTTACTGTACTCTCTGACTGTAATTAAATCAATGTGGGAATACGCTATTCAGCTATCTCTCATTAAAACCCATGCACTCTTATGTTTATCCATAAGCAAATGACGGTGTAGTCAAGTTTTGTAAGGTACAAATTCTTAACGAATAATCATCTATGAGATAAACGAATTATGAAACGACATGAATAACGATGGCATCCTCGATAAAAATGGTGATGTTAAAGTACAAGCTACGTCCGATCCTTTAACTTGTCTTTCAAGTATATAATCGTAATTATTGATTATTTTTTTAATATAACCTTTTCGTAAAAAATAATATATATATATATATATATATTGACAGAGCTAAAGATCGACAAAACTAAAGGAAATAATTTATACAAGGAAGTAAATTCCGACGGAAGTTCTCCATCAGGATTAAAAAAGCGTATTCAGGATTTATCATCGTCCACGAACGAAAATATACGATCGATCGATTTTATAACATCTCTTAATCATCGACTTTCTCATAGTCACCAATTGGACTCTTCACAGAATTACAACGAAAAGAAGAACGACGAAGAAATTTTTATCAACGAAAGTACGTCGACTTTGCGCCCATTGCAAGGTGCACGTGCCCGAAGACGGGCAAAAATCCGATCGGAGATCCTCGAAGAGATTGATAAATCTTTGTCAATAGCACAACCTAAAGTTACGAATTTATCGAATTTTTTAACAAAAACGGAGAACGATAGTTCGAAAATTATCACGGATTCGATGGAATCTCTCGAGTCGACAAAAATCATCGATAACACGGATATTTCGATGCTTCGTTTTCAACCGATGACGTTTACGGGTTCTTTGACGTCACGAAGTTGTTTTAACAATAACGATGAGAAGCATGAGTCACGTCAATCTAAATCGGCAAAGGAGGATCGTATCTCGTACGATGTTAAATGTAATAGATTATTAAAGAACAAAGTCGAAATTAATCCCATTTCACGTTTGTCTGCGAACAATGTTCATCCGATGAAATGCGGAGGATATAGGCCTTACACTGGTGTTATCCTGAAGAATTTCAGTTCTAGTAGCGAGTCTGAAAGTGTCAACGAACCGTCCAGTTATTTATCACAAAAGATCAACAGTCCTATAACGAATACGGAATTGTCCTCGCCAATTTCGAAGACTACAATAGACGAAAGAATAATACCAGTTTTATCTGCTAGAAGCGACTATAATCAGGAATTATCTTCGTCCCGATCGTTTCAAGAGACAACTAGAAGTAAAATAGATAATAGCAGAGATAGAAAAAGAAATAGTACGAAGATATTCGAAAATAATGTTAATACTTTTGTAGAGAATATCGTTCCTTATCTCGATGATAATTTAACTTATGGAAATGAGATTAGAGAAAAGAACGATTTGGATTCGTTGCCTCTAAGATCAGCCTTGAACTCGCGTTCGAAAATGGTATGGATCGACGAAGAAAAAGAAGGCGAAGGATTGTACGCGTTAGATTTCGAAAACGAAAGACAAGAGAATGAACGATCGTTGAGAGAACAAAATATTAAATCGATCCATGATTTAAATATTTTTCCTAAACGTCAGATGGAAAGAAAGATAAAACACTTTTCTTGTCCGTCTACGGCAAAGAACGTCGTAGAAAGGGAAGATTTATTTTCAGCGACAAATTCTGCAAGATTTCATAGCGAGAGACATTCATCACCGGATCGAACGTTGTACGATAATAAAAAAGATAAAATATCTTCGTTCCTGAATATCAGATTGATTGAGAATCTAGAAACATCGAACGTGTCCGATAACGAAAGACAGGATAACACGAGCGTGCCGAGTTTGCCATTATATTCCGAAGATGTCTCGTGTTCGACATCGGTTGATAGTAAAACTTACACGCAAAATCGTTCTTTGGACAATAGTGCCTTGACGAAGGCTCTGTCAAACGTAAGCTCAATATTAAACTCGAGAGATAAAGAAAATACGTCTACGAGAACTACTCGATATAAATCTTTCGACGATAGCGAAAACATGGATACTTCCGAATCGTCCGATCAAAATTTGATATTAACTAAAACATGGCAAGAACCGGTATTTGCGGAATTTAGAAACGTTTACGAAACTTGCAACGAATTTGACATTGCAAAACAATCACGTAGAGCATTTTCCGCGCCTTCCTCAAAGTTACCCACAGAACATTTTGAAAGCGATGGCCGAAAAGAGGAAGAATCGAATATAGATCAAAGAAATGATTTACGAAGGTATATGGAGGATGGTCGAAGATGTAAATCTGTCGATATGTCGCGAGAAATGATCTACGTTCAAGAAAATCTTAATGAATTCCCTGAATCGTTCTATTCGACTAAAAGAAATCTAATTCAAAGTTCGGGAAATTTAAACTACGTTGAGGAATACCAAACATTTGGCGATCCATTTGAAATCTCTTATTCGCAGGAAGAAGATTATAATACGAATCAGTTAGAATATTTGATAACTTCGATGTATCCAAGGCAAAGTCATCTTTCGATATTGCAAGAAGAATCAGAAACGCGACTCGAAGAGAATAGTCGATCCGAATCGATTATCGAAAATAAAGATTCGTCCACTTTCGACTCCAATTGCAATAATATTAATCGATCCGAATCGGTAAAACAAATGTCCACTAACTCGTCGACGGATCAAAAGGTCGAAGACGAAATACTTTTGTTGGATGAAAAGAAGAGTGAAACCGAGGATAGTAAAAACGAGGAAATGGAAAAACATTATTCTCTTAAAAAAGAAACTTCAATGGAGAAGAATACTCAGCCGTGGAATATTAAAAAAATATCAATTTGTACAAATTCAACTTGGACGTGTTCCAACGTTACAAATAATAAAGTTAGCGTAGAAACAAAACAGGAAGATGAAATGAAAGACGCCAATGAAAAAGGAGATAACGAATTTCAAACTGATAAATCTTATGACTCTGCAATCGTAGAAGGTATAGGCCAGGAAGATCCAATAACGCGGATGATAAATGACGAAAGTTCCAAATTAAAATTTTCCAAGACGGTTCAACCGGAAAATGCAATGTTCATAATTCAAAAGGTTCACGAGATTTGTACTGTCCCACCGAAAGTCTCATACTCGACTTCGAAACTCCAGGATGCATCTGAACGTATTAAGAAGTCACCTCGTTCTAAGAAAAAAAAAAGTCAAGATCGTTTTCCATTCACGATATCGGAAACGAAGTGTATGATATCGACGAAACACGAGATCGGATCGAAGCAAGGACATTGCGATAGCGTCAGTAACAAAACGAGATCATTGGAAACCTTTCGGGAATTTACGTATCCCACTGTAACAGACATTTCAAAGTCCAATTTCAATTGTTTTACCTATAACGAACGACATGAACAACGGAATATATTGCCAAAAATGAAGGGATTCGTTCGAAGATTTTCGAAGAAATTAAAGGTATCCCGTAGACATAACGACGACCATGATAAAGATATATCGACCAAGGTGATCTATCAGAATCAAGAATGTCAAAACAATTCGATGACGGAGTCCTCCTCCGAATCCACGATCGAGGAATCACAATGGATCGTACCGAGATCCGGAAATACGAGATCGTCGATTATATCCAGCGGTAAATCCTTGAAAAAAACTATGAGCCTTGAGAACTTGACTGTGTTCTCGGAATATCCTCGCAGACGATACGATCGCGACGATCACTGGGTGAAAGAATTACAGGAACATTCTTCCCAATGTGCAACTGCTATGACATTATCCAAGGAACATTTTTCGTTATTCACATCGAAAAGTGGAAATAATTCTTTGGTCGAAGATTTTTCAAAGGTATCCACGAGATTACGTAATAAGGGAGAGTGTAGTACGACCTGCAAAAAAAAGGAAGATCAAGTTAAAGCTTCTGTTTCGTCTACGCCGTCGAACGTTATTAAAAATAACGAAGTTAACAACGAAAGAAATCCTGATATAGACGAGATAAGTACAAATACGGAAAGTGGTTGTATATGTTTCAAATTTTATCGAATGTTAATATGTTCTCTCTTCGTATCGTCGAAAGATCAAACGTCAAGAATACGTAATGATTCTTTAATCGAAATTAAGAGGAAGAAATTTCGTTTCTCTTTGAAAAGAAATAGGGATGATCTTTTTCGAACGTTAGGCACACGTCCGTGACTATTTCTTTTTTCTATTTTCTTTTCTTCTACTTTTTTTTTTTTTTGTTTTTTGTTTTGTCTTCCATAGGTCAGAACACTTCTTCTTAATATTTATTGCGCGTTACATGAAACTCATACGTAACGTGGATGTATTATATATGGCGAGATATAGTTTAATTTCATTAATAGCCGATTTTAAGAATAGGTACGTACATTTTTTTTTTATCCGTCAAAAAAGCACGCGCCTATCGACATTATTAAACCGTGAAAAACTTAAAGATACTTTGATGTCTTTCCTCCTTGTTGTTTTTTTTTTTTTTTTTTTTTTTTTATTTATTCGTCGTTCGTACATGTCTCATTTGTTCTCAATAATATTGTTTACACGCTTGATTTCTTCCAACCCATGTTTCATACGTGAGAGTCTTTCCCGAAGAATGCGCATTATCGAGTTATCGCCTTAATAAAACGTTTCTTCGCTACGCTTTTAACTTATTATCGTTATTATCGTTATCGTTATAGAAAAAATAAGTCTTTAAATAATCACATAAGAGTCGTCGAGCCTTTTAAGGGATGAGGTTGAGTGGATTGGAAAATAGAGAGGGATAATAGAGTGGGCAGGGTCGGCGGGAGGGAGCGAAGGGACAGAAGAAAAAGCGCAAGGAATAGAAAGGTAGGTAGAAGGAAAAAAGTTAGGAAACATTCGTACAAGGTGTTTCGAATGTGTAAGTGTAAATGCGTCTCTCGCGCGCGCGCGTGTATCTGTCTATACGTATATTTTTATATGGCTGAATAGAAAATTCGCATCGGTTAAGAAAAATTTCGAATAACATGCCGTTTTTATTCGACAGCCGATTAAATGGCTGGCCCTATTTATGCATTGAAAAAATCTCTTACATATAAATAACAGCTCTAATGTCTGTAAAAGAGATTTTTATCTATCCATCGAGAACCGTCGACCTCGATAGATCGGCGAGAATAATCGCAAACGTGCAAACAACTAGATCTCGACAATCGGATTCGATCGAATAGATCCAACCCAAGACGACGGTCGACGACCGCAAAGATCCCTGGCATAAAGTAAGAAAATCGACGCTAAAGGGAATGCGATCCCGCTGATCCGTCTTGAGTTTTTCTTCCTTCGACGTCCCTGAGAAAGGAAAGGGGAGGCTTCCTTGGCCGCACGTAACGTTACAATTACGTTTCGATCGATCGCAAATTCGTACTCGTCGGATGAACAATGAACGTTAGCCGTAAAACGATGTTACATCATACAGGATTATACATATATTACACAGGTACGGATTTCTTATGCTTCTGAAATGCACGCGTTCTATCGTTAATATTTTTTTCCTTCCTCATATTCAACTTCTTCCATCTGTCGTTTTCTTTTATTTTCCTCTCTCTCTCTCTCTCTCCTCCTTTTTTTTTTTTGAAGGGGAGGGTTGCGCATCATCCACCGCAGGCGCAGGCGTATCGATCGCCGTGCTATGCGTTCGTGTACGTATATACGCGATATATTTGAGCGACTATGATATTACGTAGAATTTACATAGTTTCGAGAACAACGAAACTTTTTCTTTCTTTCTTTCTTTCTCTCCCTCTCTCCTTGTTTTTCCTGTGGCGAGCTCAAATGCACGATAGATTGGAGATATAGAAGAAGGATAGAGTACAGTAAAACCTGGCACGATAACTTGGAAATAGCGGCTATCTTATATTTTGGCTTTAACGCGTACGAACTCTCGCGTCGTCGAAACGATGCGTCCGCACGCCGTGCTAATTAGTTCTCGTACGGGTGTGGCCGTTCGCACGCGCTAATAACAACGTCACGACGACAACCTACACGACGAGGAAACTTCCAATTTTAATCATCTAACTCGTTGTACGCGTTTCATCACTCTTAATGACGAGAATACGACGACCGACGAGTTTCTATTTGCGAGTTTTCACATTGCTTTAATAATTTATGGTTCGTCGAAAGGAGATAGACCAAGACGACGAGATACGTGACCGAGAGATGCTTTTTTTTCCGTGTTAAAGCTCGAATAAATTCGTAAGATTCGGGTGAATAAGGACGTCTCCGTTTTCCTTTTTAGAGCTGATACTCCATTTCGGATTTCTCGGTTAATTTTCGTCGACGTTCGATCGCCCAGGTGTTCATCGATCACGGGCCTCCTCGTCGTCGAGCACATCCGTTCGTTGCTCGTGCGTTCGCGTTTCTTCGTCGAGACTCTTGTCACCGTTACGAGATTTCTCGGTTAAATTATGTCACAACGGTGGCGGAATGGAGAACTCCTTTCGTACGTAAAACAAAATGTAAGGCTTGCACTTTGCGACAGCGTCGGTGCTCGCTGGACGCACCGAACTGTCGTTGAAGTGGAACCACTGACCGTCGTGCACGGCAAAAGCGGTGTAATGTCCTGTCCCGGCACTGCGAACAAATTCATTTCATTCGTTAATCTATTATTATGCCTTTTTACGCATTAATCTTTAAACAAATAAGATATCATAATGTTTTTTCGATCTCTGTAGATATCAATCGACGATATTACGTTCGAAAGTTGAAACTGAACTTTGCCATCGGCCGATTTATGTTTAACGTATCTCACGAATGACGTAAACGCTATTAGTATTTTAAATAAGAATTACGTCTCAAAAAGACTTCGATCTATGTTCAAAGAGATTTTTTTCTCTTTGAACATAGACCGAGAAAAAAAAAGAGAAAAAGAAAAAATCATCTCTTTAAACATAAACCGAAAAGAAGAGTAAGAGAGAGAAATTTTCTAGGTTTGACTAGGGTGTTTAAACTTTTTTTTATCGTTGCAAGATTATCAGAACAAAATCAAAAAAGGCTTAAAAACTTTATTAAATCGCGATCATACCCTGAACCATGATGAACGATTACGGCAGCCAAGTCGTAAAGATGACTGTTTTGAGCGCCCAACTTCATACCGGTAACGCCGCGCACGGTGAACGCCGACATATCGAGAGATTCCATCGGAAAGTCCACCTGTGTGTCCACCTTCGAACGATAGGAATTACACCACCTAAATCTTTTAATGTGAAGGCACAACACCTGGAAACGAAAGATAAAAGATTTAATATCGTCTCGGGCGATATTAAAAGAAATAGAAAATAATATGTTAATCTCGTGTAGGAAAAAGAGAGAGAAAAGATAAAATTTAATTTTTTCCCCAATACTAACGTTAGGCAGCCTATGTATCCAGAACCTCTTGGTGGACCGTTGTTTCCCCATACAATTATCGCAAAAGTATAACTCGCTGTCGGCCAGTTCCTCGACCTTGAAGAATCTTGTCAGACTGTAGGTGAGACTACAGACCTCTTCCTGTTCCTTCGTACGTCGTTGCAATCTGTCCGGTATATCCAACGAGAGATCCTGGAAGGGTTCGTGCGTCTTCGAGTCCGTGCGGCAATTCATGCAGTGGACCTGCGCGAGGAAACGCGATCCATAATTCGTCCGCGCTTCTCCCCGAACAAGAGAAAACGAAGAGGATGACTTTTGTCGAAGAAATCTCGCTGAGCGTTGCGAGGTAGGAGGTAGGATATTCGCGAAACATGTTGAGATATAGATTTCGATAGGTATAATGAAAGGAAGAATGAGAGAGAGAGAGAGAGAGAGAGAGAGAGAGAGAGAGAGAGAGAGAGAGAAAGAGAGAGAGAAAGAGAGAGATGCGAAGGACAAACTCGCAGCGAGCTCGACTTACCACGCTGAGGAGAGTGCCTCCAAAAACGGCGGTAACGATGCTCTGCTTTCCACGTAAACCAAGAGGCTCGTGTCCAAGCCTAGGTAATAGTTGTAACAATTCTGTGTGCAATCTATCGAGCATGTAGGTGAGAAACTCATGAGCGTCCTGTTGTTGGTAACCCCTAAATCGTGGCACGACTTTCCATATGACGAGGAAGAGACACTCCGGGGAGATGGCTTGACCATTGGAACCACCGAGGCTCAAACCAAGAAGAACTTTTCGTAATTCTTCGGCAAGAAGAGCATCACTCATAAGTTCCTTTGCTCTTCCTGGTGTAACGATGCGACCTCTGTGAGTTGGTGGTTCCGACGGGTCGAAAGCTATGCCCTCGAGGCACGGCATTTGCGTGAGGTATTCGCAAAAGTGGCTGATGTTGTTGAACGATTGGAGTACGACGTTCATGAAACAAGTGTTCCCGAGATTCCTCAGGCCGACGACCTTTTTCTCTTTGGTTATCTTCGAGCTTCTACGCTTAGTCGCTGGCCTATTGTCCCCGCTAGTACCGTCTAACGAATGCAACCTTTTCCTTGCCGTTCTTGGCCGTAAATTTCTCACGACCACTTCGGCCTTCCAAAGTGCATCGGCGTCGTTATCCTCGCTGCTTTCTCGTCTAGACGACGGCGTCGTTGCCGGCGTTGTACTCCAACTCTCATCATTCTCCTTGTGTTCATCCTTCCGAAAGATTATTTGACGTATCTTTTCTATCTGCCCGCTCGTCGTGTCGTTTATCACGTATTCATCGCACGTGTAACTGCGAAAAGAACGATTTCAATGTTATCGTTCGCGTCTCCTCTTCCTGTTCCTACCTACGAACGAACCAAACCGAGCGAAACGTTCGTTGACTGGCTCGATCTATGCCAGTGGCTCTCAACTTGATAATAACGAGAAATTTATCAAATATATATTTCTTTTGAAAGACCTTGACCCGAATGAATTTTTGTGTTAAGAAAAATCGATCGTAGTAAAAAGATAAAGAAAACAACTATTTCCTCGATTACAAAGATGACTCACCAGAAGACCGAGAGGTTTTCACAATCGATGCACACGCAATGCTGAGTATTCTTCTCGTGATGCTGCAACGCGTGTCCGGCGACATACCTTCCACAATGTACTGCTCCGCAATGCAAACAGAGCCACGTACTTTTCTCGGTACCGCATACTGTTGTAGATCACCGAAAAAAAAAACAATAGAAACGATAGTTAGATATGAACTCCAACAGAACGAACGTGTACACATATTTCATCGAGTCATTATTAATAGAAATATTTAAAAATAAAATATTTAGAAATATATTCAAAATTATGTTTATTACAATTTTTTTTTTTCAAGTATTTCCAGAAATATTTTCAATAAGAACGTGCCGATGTCTAGACAACCATCCAGCCGCAGAATGCAATATATCTGGTGATTGAAAAAGAACATCACATTCGTCTTCCCTTGCATTGCGTAATTCCGGAGGAAAAGATGGAAATGGAGGAATGAAGTAGAAAAAGAGTAGAGTGAGAGAGAGAGAGAGAAAGAGAGAGAGAGAGAGAGAGAGAGAGGAAGGGGTTTGACACACCCCCTCGCAGTCTCATCGATCGATCGCGATATGCCTTGGATATTCGTCGCTTTTCTCCGTTTTTTGAGAGGTTACTCTTTCGATCTTTCGATAATCTAGAAAGCAAAAAGAAAAATGTCGAAAATACTAATTAAACGAAAAACGTGAGGCGTATGTTCGATATCGTTGCTGGGAAAGAATCGAAACGGGTGATAGAGCAATAGGTAGAGAGTTTCAAGAACAACCAACGAAAGGGGACGCGAAAAGTGAGACGATGTTCACTCGGGCGAGAATTTCTACAACGAGGTAATCTGATACGTTCCCAGTCAAGGTCATTCCCAGATGAACACTCTTGTCTCTTGGTCGACCACCCCATACGAAACGTATATATAGATAATATATCATATCGTATGTAATATCGTGTGTATAACATAACACATGCATGTACATGTATTATTATATTATTTGCCAAATTATAAATGTATATACATAATATACGTTTCCAAATAGATATACTGAAATATGTTTGAAAATTATATAAGAATGTAGAAAAATAGATGTACTTAAATATGTTTGTAAATTATATAGAGATGTAGAAAAATGTATACGTTGAAATTCACAAGTCCGTCGTAACTGTGTTAAACACATAAACAGTAGAACGGAGAAAGATACGTCGTAGATAAAATTTACATCGTCGCGCGTATACATTTTTTTTTTTTTTTTTTTTTTTTTTTTTAAGAAAGACGCAGTAAAAAGCAAAGTTCGACATTTCAAAGATTATTAATGACGTCTAAATGACGAATCGAGTCTGTTGACTGAAGAATTTTGACACCGTGGAACTCGCGTTAAACTCATGGCGCATACCTTTCGTAGTATGATTACATATACATGCGAGCTATATTCGAATGCTTGGGTCGTGGCTGGTGGTCGATGCGTGCACCGCGTGTATATAGCATCGATTTAAAAAGAGAAAAAGAATTAAATAAATAAAAAGGACGCATTGCGACACGATACGAGACTTTATATTCTCGGATCGCATTCCCGTTCGAATAGACAGGAAGAACGATCGTTTTTCGTATGTCTTTACGCTTTCCAAAGAATATGGTACAGTAAGCGCTAATAAATTTCAACGAGAATATAACTCGGAGACGTTTCAAACATCAATATACAAACACACAAACACAAACACACATACACGTCTTGTAAAATTGATTCCGAAAGATAAAAAAATCCTGACATAAAATACCCCTATCAAATTCTGATTCCAACATATAAATATCGTCCAATAGAAACTCGTTGCATTTCAGCCTTGCTTCGCCTTACGTCGTTATTCCTTTTTTCTTTTCTTTTTTTTTTACGTTCCAAAATCAATTTCCCCGTTGTATGCATGCCTATAACCACGTCGATGGGATTACAAAGCATCGTGGTGGTGTATCAGACGACAGCCATGTATAGAACACAAACGTTCATTCAATATCGTGCTCCTACTCAATGAAGCCATGTAATACCGGGTGTCGAAAGTGTTACCTACTCGAATGTCTAGTACAATGAGACGTAAAGAGCCACGATACGATTCACCGATATATATATATCGGAAAGTTCGATAGATCCTTTGCTTAAATTTGATCGAAAGATTTTTCGAGCGACTGTTCAGCTAAGAAGGAATCTCAACTCTTTGCGAAATTCGATATCGTTGAGTTTCAAGGATAGACGTGGGCGTGAGGCAAACGTCGGCTCAATTTCGTTACGTACCGCTTCGCGAAAGGACGATACGGAAAGAATTAGAAAAGGATAGGCTGACTTATCCTTCCTCGCAAAAGTTCGCCACGCCTTGGATGCGTTCTCGCGGAAAGCTCGTCGGCGACGAGAGCGATCGTCTCTCGCGATCGATAAATCGACGCTGCAGCGGGAAAGAGTAGGATGGCGTTGCAACGGGACACGAAGGAAAAGGAGGAGGAGGAGGTGGGAATAGCAGGAGAAGGAATAGGAATAGGAGGAGGAGAAGAGGAGGAGGAAGAAGGTAAAACTCGTTCTTGCGAGAGCGACGGACTGCACTCTCGCATCCTATTAAATGCTGCCAGCAGAGGCAGCAGCACCGGCAGCAGCAGCAGCAGCAGCAGCAGCAGCAGCAGCAGCAGCAGCAGCAGCAGCAGAGCGTGCCGTTATCGATTTTGTAACGTCGTCGTACCCGAAGCAGTCTGTAGAGAGCTACAACAGGAAAAGAGCTAGTGGTGGGGTGGTTGGAGGAGATGGTAGTAGTGGTAGTAGTAGTAATGATAGTAGTAGTAGTAGTAGTGGTAGTAGTAGTAGTAGTAGTAGTAGTAGTAGTTTTAGCGCTAGTGATACTCCTAGTGATAATGATGATGCCGAGACTGCTTCTGTCGATGATAAAAGGATCGCGTCATTTTATCATGCTTCTGAGAGACAATCTTTTTCCTCTCAGACGACGACAACGACGACGACGACGATGATGACGACGATGATGATAACAACGATGATGATAATAACGACAATGACGATAATGACAACGATGACAAGGAAGAAGTATGTTGTATTCACCGAGACTTCGAGAATCATTGAGAGGCATTTTCATCGATCTCGTCCCGGATGCGTTACGTTTCGTCGAGCATTCAGTGATCACTCTCTCACAATCGTCGACTCGAATGCATGAGAGAAACTGAGAAAGGCAGAGAGAGAGAGAGAGGAGAAGGAGAGGGAGTCGCAACGAACCGTTCCATGCGATCCCCCACGTGTTTCTGAATCGTCCTACTCGTCGATTCGATCGTGTGTTGACCGACTAGACGGTCTCGTTGGAAAAACAAGCTTTCGTACTCGTCATATACACATGTGTATGCGTGTATGCATAGAGAAGGGAGCTTGACTCATCGTCCGTCCCTTCTCTCTCTCTCACTCTCTCTATCTCTCTCTTGCTATACCTACGTGACGCTTCGTTTCTTTTCCTCCCTAACCCCCACCATTGCTCTCCCTTTCTCCTACCCTTTTACCCTTTCCTTCGTATTCTCGAAGGAAGAAACACCTTCCTTCGTTTTCTACGCCGTAAGATTGTATTAAATGTAATAAAAGAAATAAATTATTTGCCACACGTCCGGTATCTTTACTCGACCTAAGAAATTTAGTTATCTCGACATTTTAAATAAATCAGATTTTCCTTTACCTATATACGTTGCGCACATAGTAAATCTATCTTTTTTTTCTTTCTTTCGTATCACTTTTTATATTAATATTATATTTATTGTTATTTAATTTCGTTCGACAAGTTATTCTCGTCATATCTCAAGTAAGATTACTCATATCTTAAGTATGATTATGATACTTTTACGCTATTATAAATTATTTCTCTCTCTCTCTCTCTCTCTCTCTCTCTCTCCTCACTCACGGTTCTAACGTTTATCGAATTATCGTTTTTTTGAATCGGAAAGATAAAAGAAGGAAACGATTGAAAAGCCATAAACAATACATTATTACATATAAATATTATTACATATTACAAGGGAGGGATTAAACGTAAATAAAAAAAAAAATAAAATCTGAAAATAAAAATATATTCTGTAGTACTTTCGAGATAAACTTTCGACGCGTTCGATCGTTCGTAACGAGAGATCTCGCGAAATCGCTGGGAGAGCAAGCCTTCTCCCAGTTTGCTTCGATGCACCACCATCACCACCACCACCACCACCACCACCACCACTGCTACCATCACCATCACACTACTACCACCACACTACTACCACCATATTACCATTACCATCGCAATCGCCATCACCACCATCGCGTTGATTCTTTCCAGAATCCCTCTCTACGTACCCCTCTTGGCAGCCATAAAAGGGTCTCCCGCTAGAAGAAAGAACAACGTTCCGCTTCGCGTTCATCGTTGTACTCCGGACGACCAGAAAACAACTACGACTACCTGCCTTAACGAAAAACTCGAGAATCGAGCTTTGACCTGGTAAATCTAGATCTCTGAAGACACAGGGACAGAGAGACTGTATAGGATCGATGATTATATTCGCGATAAGGATCGAGTTAAGGGAGATTCAAAGACGAGAAACGAGAGACGATTCTCTGTCTAGAAAAAAAGTTAAAAAAAAAAATAAAAAAAAAAAAGAAAGAAAAAATTAAGAATGAGTGCCGCGCTTACGTTTTTCGTCGTAAATATAGTTTGGAGGTTGTGCTACGAGGAGAGAAAGAAAAGGATGAAATACACGACACGAGGACTTATTTTCTTATCGAGTAAGAAAGGAAAATATATGAAAGAGAATCGTGGAAAATCAGGAAATATATTGTACGTACATTCGTACGATTCATAGCGTCCTGTCGTCCTATGTTTAAACGTTGTGTACGTCTATTCGTACTTCTCTACGCGCTAGGGAGAGAAAAGAGTGAGAGACAGACAGAGAGAGAGGAAGATGCACTTTGAGAGTCGAGGAAAAACGTCGTTGTTAAAAAGAGAAAGAGCGAAAGAGAGAGAGAGAGAGAGAGAGAGAGAGAGAGAGAGAGAGAGAGAGAGAGAGAGAGAGAGAGAGAGAGAAAAGACATCAGTCGTGTGCTACCGAAACGACGCGATCTCGAGCCAGCTGATTAGTGCCGTCTGGTATTGATTTTCCAATGACGGCCGCAGCGCATACCGAGAACTCTTAGCTAGGAGTACGCATACGCGCGCGCTGGGACCTATCTATCTTTCTTTCTTTCTCTCTCTCTCGCTCTCGCTCTCTCTCTCTCCTCTCTCCCACCCTCCTCTATCTCTCTCTCTCTCGCGCAGGAGAGAACAGCCACGCAACGGACGCGTTCGCTACACGCATCATACACATACACATATACATACTCATATCAAACGCATATATATACAATGTGTGTATACACACGCGCGCGCGCACACACATATATATATACGTGTATATATATATATATACATATATATATTGACATATAAGGAAAGAAAAAGGTGTTACGTTGACAAATAACACGAGTACTATCACCGTCCGTAGTTCGAACAGTGAACGGACTGAAGAATCTGATCTCTCCCACGTTCGGGTTCCTTTACAAAGGGATAAAAAGAGAGAGGTAGAATGGTAGAGAGAGAGAGAGAGAGAGAGAGAGAGAGAGAGAGAGAGAGAGAGAGAGAGAGAGAGAGAGAGAGAGAGAGGAAAATGAATCTTTAAAGAGCGTGCTTCTCGCAAAGGGAAATGGTAGCCGATCGCTTCGTCTCGTTGCCGTCACGACGACGGCTCAAGGCCGCGAGAGGAACGGCCTGGGCCTGGGTCACGGTGCAGAAGGAAACGGATATAAAGTTTAGCGGAAGGAGAGAGATAGAGAGATAGAGAGAGACTAATAGTTGCAAAGACAAGAAAAGATAAGATATGGAAAGATGGTAGAAAGAAGGAAGGAAGGGGAAGAATATCGTTGGAAAAATTTGAATCCCTACCTGCGCAGACGAACGGCAAATCCTTCGTGCAGGTCGTTTCAACGTCGTTAGCACCGAGTCGGACGCTCTGAGCTAGGTGCGGGCACTCCATCTTTCGCTGCCTCCAGGATTTCAAACGGGGCCCTCGTGGCCCCCCCTTCGTTTGTCGGCCGTGCGTAAGTTCGTGCGTGAATGCGTATTTGCGTGCGTGCGTGCGTTCGTTGCTTACGACCGATAGTTACGACCGATGGTTACGACAAAACGAGACGAGACGAGACGGGACGAGACGAGACGCGACGGGACGGGACGAGACGAGACGAGAAGAAACGAGACGAGACGAAACGAGACGAGACGAGACTGTGTGTGTGCTCTATCTATCTCTTTCTTGCTCTCGCTCGCTTATACGAGCATTCACGCTCGACCTATCTCTCTCTCTCTCTCTCTCTTGTCTCGCACGCGCACGTCTCAGCCACTACTACTACTACTACTCTACTACTACCACCACCACTACCACCACCACACCACCACCAGCATGTACTACACGCACTCGCAGAACAAACGCACGCACGCACACGCATACACCACGCTCCTCTCCTTCTGTCACTCTCTTTTTCGCACGACCGACCGCCTCGGTCGAGATGGGTACAAGAGGGGTGAAGGGGAAGCGACCGAGCGAGCTAGTGTGAGAGAGATAGAGAAAGAGGATGGGAAGGGAGTAATAATATATAGCGGGCGGGGTACACACCGAGTGCCCCGTGATATCCGTCACATAGCGCGGTGGGGATTTTCGCCGGGTGTGCGATCGGAAAAAGAAAGGGGAGTCGGGCGTACGCGTTGCGCAGACCGTGGATCGACTGACGGAGAGAGAGAGAGAGAGAGAGAGAGAGAGAGAAAGAGAGAGACAGAAAGGGAGGGGGAGAGAGAGAGAGAGAGGAGAGAAGAAAAGCGTTCGAAGGAGGTCGAAAAGAGCGACTACGAGCTAACGGGGCAAACTATACGAAGAACGACGATCGCTGAACGGCCGACTGGGTCCGACTGCCGACCGAGCGCGACCGAGCTGCGTGGAGCTCGGTTCAGCGGTGGTCGGCCCACCTCCAGACTCACAGACTACCAATAGTCGACTAACTCGGCCCGACTCGGCGCCGTTCGACTATGCTCGCTTCGGCTCGCTTCTCTTTTTCTTTCTCTCTTTTTGTGACGTGCGCGCGGCTAGACTTTCCCCTCCCTCTTCGGCGTATGCTCGAGAGCGTCGTCGCCATCTTTGTTAACGACGTTTCCAACTTACCTCGCGAGAAGAAGAAGATAGGTTAGGTTGACTCTCTCTCTTCACGCTATCCCTAGCCTCTGGTAGTAGTTTCCTCCGTTAGTAAGTTATCTCGTAACGCGCAGCCTCCGAACAAATCGGGCAGATCTGGCTCAAAAGCGAGGAGGGTGAACGCCAAGGGCCATGCCATAATGCGGACGCCTGATTATCGAACGAACGCCCCTTCCTTCTCGAACTTTCCTTTAGCGTTTTTTTTTTCTCTTTTTATCTAACTGTACTATTCCATAACCCTTTCGATATTATATCTCCTATGAAAATTTTTATTATCGAATGACTCGTCTTTCCTCGTTCGTCGTTCTTCTTTCCCCTTCGAATCTGCAAACGTTTCGAGTATAAATATAACAGATTTTTTTTAATGTTTCTTACTTTTTCTTTTTTCTCTCTCTCTCTCTCTTTCTTTCTTCGTTTCGTCGACAATAAAAATACGAGCAACATTTCTTTTTTTCTTTTTATCTTTTACGAGAGACGATCGATCATTCGAGTCAGGGGGCGTAGTCGCGAAATTCTTGTACACTCGTAGTTAAGTCAATAAACTTCTTACATACATAGGCCGTATAACATTTCGATAGCTTTACGTCCTAAGAATATCGCGAATTCGATAGATCGGTTGTTAGATATAATATCGTGTTTTTGGTACAATGGTGAAATACATGGTTTTAAATTACCAAAAGAATCGATAGCCAGGCCTTTTAGACGCGGTCTACTTACGATTGATACGGAAAGATCGCACGGCTCTCGTTCGCATGAGAACTAATAACGCTAATCGATTCTATGCGAGATCATAAAAAGAGAAAAACAGTGATAGAATGCTATTCAAAGAAGGTCAGGTACCTTGCTCAGCTGCTTACTTCCTAGCCGATAATAAAACCCGTAAATGTGGTAGTTTAGTTTTCCGTATGTAATAATGCGTCATCCGTAGCACGGTTACTGTAGCTATCGAGTTATTCTAAATGGCCGACAAGGCGCATGCGCAATGTACTTTCGAACGATCATCAAATTATTACATACACACACACACATATATATATATATATATATGGATATATAGTTCCACCTTAACTGAAACATTAGTATCAGTTTTCCGTCTAATGAATTCATTTTAAATATTTTAATTAAATTTGGTAATTCTTCTGATAAATGTTACAAGATAATAAACCTTGAATGTAATTACATTTCATGTGTACAGTCAAATATTAATGTTTCTGTTTGTTAAGATTTGGTACTCCATAATATTCCAAAAAACTTACAGAATGAATTAGTATAATAATATTGAGGATTAGAAAAGCAATGTCTTTAGATCATGTCAGTTTGCAATTTTATTAAAAAGTGCAAGACCAACTATTTTGTTTAATGAAAAAGATATAACTTTAAGAACGCCTGCTAAATTGCGTAACTGGTTGCGTCAGTTGTAATCCAGTAATATTATTGAATTCCAACATCTTCAACATCTCCTTGGTTTCAGGATCGACTTCGATGATGTCGTGTTCCAAAGCAGAAACTTCTGGTACATAGTTGTCTCTGCGTTCCCTTTCTTCTTCTTGAAGCTTGATAGAGATACCTCTTACTTGGCTATGTTTTAATCGCTTCATCAAGTGAGTAACAAATCTATAAAGTAAACATTTTTGTTCTAACAAATTTGTTCTTAATCATATAAATTTTTCCAATGCGTTAAAGAAATTAAATAAACTTTATGAAAAGTACATACCCAGCTATTTTGTTTCGTAAAGATTTGCTTGGAATAATAGCAATTTCCTCGCATATCCTCTTATTTGTGTGGAAATCCAAAGTCAGACGATGATGATACTTTTCGATGATCATCTTCGCCGCCTTTTTGACGGTCTTCGTCCTAACGCGACTCTGTAATCACACATCGAAGACACGTTAGAATTATTTTCTTAACCAATGATAATACGCAAGCTCAATTATTTTTAATTGTTGTTGAAACTACACTGCCAAACATAACCTCCACATTTGGAGCACTCGCGACCCGATTCTCGTTATTTCCGACATTGAATTTACGTGTTTTCACTACAAATATATGCAATAATTCGATTATAAGTATTTTTTTTCGGCTATTGTGACGGATGCAAGTAATTTTTTCGGATTAATGTTAGAACATATCAAAATAAATACCCACCATGTTGCTTAGTATCCCGGAAAAGGTACAGACATAAACGAAAGAGAAACACTGAGACGCCCGATTGTCCTGCTTTGTGGGAGATTTAGTAACTACATGATTTTTGCTTTCAAAAACAGCACAAGTGACATCTGTGTAGTATAGCAACTATGTTTCACTTACGTATAACAGAGTACTTTAAAAACAGCCGTCGATAATTATTTATCATACTCTGAGATTTGAATCGAATATATTTTGAATATTATTATTTTAATCATTTTTAGAAATATGGTATCATATGCAAAAATTCTATTGTTTTTTTTACAAAAAATCCATCCGAATCTACTATCGATATTGTGTGATCCGACGATATTGTGAGTTTAATCATTGTTTTCGATCGGAATGTACTGCTACGTTAAATTCAAACATGAAATAAAATAAAATACTATAGTGATGAAGAAACAATCAAACTATTTAAAAACTTTTCAGGCACGACTCCGTTAGTATGGTCATTACGAAGTATCGAAGGAAGAAGATGATCGAAGGAAATTACAACAGATGTCGGGAGAATCGTACGAAGCGTCCGCGGGATGGCGTTGTCGACGGCAAGTCGGCGGGGTGAACGGAAAGCGTCAACGGCTCAAAACATGACGTTCGTAGTTCGTTGGTACGACGATGTCGAAGCCGCGAATAATACGGAACTGTTAATCGGCTTGTCGCGAGTGACATTTCCTCTGGGACGTATCGCGAGTACGAGCGTTAACCTCGCATCGAAGGACGTTGTCGAAATACGTGAAAAATTGCAAAAGATCGACAGCCATCGGTGATAAGCGTGGGTCGCGTTTGGTCGGTGGTGGCGTTGAAGTGACAAGGTACTATCGGCAAAAGAGAGATAAAGATAGAGTGAGAGAGAGAGAGAAAGAGAGAGTGAGAAATCGAGTGTGGTGGGAGACGGTAGCGCCGGGCGGGTGCGCGCGCGCGCTCGCGCGTAAGCAAGCAACGGTGCAAGTACGAAGAGTAGAAACGTAGAAAAGTAGAAACTGGTGGGGGAGAGAGAGAGATACAGCGTGGTGGTGGTAGTTGCGATGTCGAAGTTAGTGGTGGGGAGAAAAAGAAGGAGGAGAGTCGGTGGCGACGGGAGCACGCGAGATGGTGGAGTGGGGTACGAGGGAGCGAAGGAGAGGAGGCGAGTTTGTTTATCGCCTTGGTGAACGGTGCGAGAAGCAGTCAGTCAGTGCGGTGCTACACTTGGCCTGCGGTGGTCGGTGTCTTCGGTAGAGTCCTGCTTCCCTGCGTCGTGTGTGTCTGGCTCTCTCTCTCTTTCTCTCTCTCTCTTTCTCTCGTTCTCGCGTGTCCTCGTTAAATCTTTTTTTTTTCTTTTCCCCTCTCCGTTTTGACACTCGGTTCTCTCTAATCCGGTGAGTGCGAACAACGCACCGTGTCACGTTTTCGAGAAGGAAAGAGAGTGAGTTTCGAGTGAGAAAAAAGAAATAGGAAAGGACAGACGGACGGACATACGGAGAGAGGGAGGACGTACACATGTCGACATCCGTCTGAAGAGAGTTCCCTTCGGCCGAAAGAAGAAAACATAGAAGAGAAACAACGATACGTCGTGTGATACAAGAAACGTCGTGTAGTGACACGACAAACATGCCACGGAGAAACAACGCCGAGGGATAGGATCTCTCGAATCGCGCGCGCGCGCTATAACACGCAAAAACGCACAGGCGCACACATATACACATATATTCTATCTCTCTCTCTTTTTCTCTTACATATATATATATATACACACACACACACACACGCACACCGTACACGCGCGTTTATTTTGACCGCCTACTCTCTTCGTTCCGGCTTCCATCGTATTTATCGTGGTCGTCATCGTCAGAGTCATCAGTCGTCATCGTCGTCATCCTTCGCCGTCGTTTTTATAGTCTCCCTCCCTCTCTCTCTTTTTACCGGTATATCTTTCCGCAAAAATCTTTCTCAAACGACGTGGGATTCGCCGTGGGATACGACACTACGCATGCACGACTAAACAGGTAAGACGATCTCTTTTTTGCTTTCTTTTTCGTTCTTTCGAGACAGGAACCTAACCTCATTTTTCTCGGTTCTCCGCTTTCGTTCCTTCCACGTTGCGTTCAACCAACTTTTTTCTACTTCCGTTTCTAATTGAACATAATTTTTTTTTCTTTATATATATATATATACATATATATATATATACATACCAATATCATAAATTTATATTTATTCTCATACGATCAGTTAAATAATTCGATTCAATGACTTTCTCTTTTTATACATACGATTGACAACGCATACAAAATACA